CCTGCCTCTGTGTCTCGGGCTCTGACACTGCAGTCATGAGCCATCGTGCCCAGCTTGTTCCCGTTATTTTCACACTCGAGAGGTTTGCACCCCTCCTGTGTAAAGATAAATGTTCATTCCTATCTTTAAGGTGGAAAGTGCATTTGCTTTCTTTATTCTGTTCTAGAAGTTATTGGCACTTTTCCCCCCAAAAAAAGTCTATTCAGAAGAACATTGAACAGCATGCCTGCATCCTTTATCTGTTCTGACACTTGCTACCTGGAAGAGTCTTATCTCATCATCCAATTGGCAGGTGTATCATGTCTGATATCTGGACCAGAGACTGAGGATCACACCCAAGAAAGACACAAATTCCAACTAAACCACATTAACTTTTAGAACTTACCCCCCATTACTGAATGCATCTAAAGCATGCATCCATGACATCTAAACCATAGGATGTTTTTGTTCTCAGGGCCAGACAATTGCTCTAAATTTTCACTGAACACTTCTGTATAACTGTGTCTGCAACACAGCTAGAGTTGGTGTATGGCTTCTCATCTTGCAGTATAATTCCCGTTTACATTCCCAGGTGTCAGAGAATTCCGCCTGACCCCTAATTCACAGCCCTTTACAGCATGTTGATGTCTTAGCTTCTACAATGTCCTTGGTGGACATCTGAGTTCTTTTTCACGAAGGCAGCTGCCCAACTGGCCATGCCTGAACCATACATTCTTCTTGGTTGCATTATTAAATTCTCAGTTTTTTTTCTTAACAACTATTACAACTGAATGTTTATTGGTGTTGGTTGGGGCTTCCTGTTTCATCATGTTAAAAACTGGTTTGAGTCGGTCACAGTCTGGTGGTTCATTGATTGTCCTGGACATCCAGTCACCCTGACATTTGACACCTCTGCTTTCCACATCGTTATTTACATCTTTGAACGTCAACGTTCACAGTGAGAAAAGTGCAGCTCAGGCTGGTGGGGTGACTTGACCAAAGTCACAGGACGACTGTGGGGAGCTGTGCATAGGCACAGAGATTTGCATGCTTGCTCATCTTCCTCAGAAACGGGTTCTTGTCGGGTCACTGACTGTAGTTGTACATGACAGTCTCGTGTCACCTCCATGCCAGGTGTCGCTCTTTCAACAGCCTGCAACCTACAGCCTTTTCTCCCCTAGTCCGACATGCTTTCTCAGTCCTGTTTCTCCCATTGGGTCCAAGAGTGGTGATCCAGGTGCCTTTGTCCCTGAATGGAAGTGGAAGTGTGTCCACAGAGTCCTCTCCCTGCCCCAGCTATCCGGAGCTGATGAGCAGCTTGGTAAAGACTGATAATGGTGGAGGGTTCTCTCATGGGCTGACCTTGGTTCTCTGGCTAGGAATCCAGAGTCCCCTTGACCCCAGGGATTCCTCCCTGGAGCTTCACGCACCCACTCTGAGTTGTTCCTTTTACTCCTAAGAACTTTATCGGTGTTGGTGTGCCAGGTTCTATCATCATGGTTTTTGGGATTTATTGGGGTTTTCTGCATCCCTCGCTCTGAAGTTACCATTTGAGCAGCTCTCTGGCCGCCCTGGCTAGCCTTCTGCAGCATGCTCTTTCTTCTCAGATGTTGGCTGGTATAGCCTGCTTCCTGCCAGGACCCTGCTGTTCTGGGGTGGATCTGGGCCGTGCTCCAGGAGACCAAATTCCCTACTCCAGCTCCATCCACTTGCCCAGATGTTCCTCCATTGACTTTCTTTCCGAAGTCCTGGAACATCTCTGATCGAGAGAAGGGACAAAAACAGCTTTAGTGCTCATTCCACCCCTTTCCTCCCAACAACTCCAAACACAAGTGTGGGAGTGAAGAGCAGGCTCCTCCTAATTTGGAGGGTGCCTCAGAATCTGTCCTTTACTCCGCTATCATCTCTGGCCATTTGGTTATGACTGACCTGGCTGTCACATCTGGGCTCAAGAGGACTGTGCTATGAGTGATTCTCAATGTCTTCGGAGCCCAATATTTTACTGGTCCATAATAACCTGCTGTTCATGTTACAAGAAGAAAACCCAGTCACAAAAAGAAAACCGAGTCACACATACATCAGCTTGTTCAAAGCCACACGTGGAAGCAGGGCAGATTTGGGGGTGGCATCCAGGTTGTCAGGCCTTCCCTCTTGGTGTCTTCTAAGCTGAAAGTTGATCTCTCGAGGTAGACAGAGATTGCCTGCCTGCCTCCCAGTTTGTCATGTACATTCAGTGTTCAGCTATCAATACCGAAGGGCAGGAACACGGGCCTGGACAGGGCAGCTGGAGGCTGAAGGCAGAGTGCAAACAGAAACTGTAGGAGGAGCCAGCACACTGGTGTCAACCTTGGAGACACAGCAGAGCCAGAG